CACTTGAGTAATTAAACCCAACACTGTTACAGGTTCCATGTGTAAAAGAGGGTTTTTATCATTGTTGAGTCCTGGAACTTGAACTACCAGTGACCTTCTCTGTTTCCGAAGGTCTTTAATTGTCAAGTGTATTGTTAAATATTTCAAATGTATATATGATTGTGTCTGTCAAATGACAATTATTTTGTCAAAGCAAGGTCTTACATCGCCTCCTGTCATTTTAAAAGTACCCTAATTTGTTCTCATTATGTGCAGTCAATTACTGTATGAGAAGAGTTGTCACTTCATTGACATGGTGGGTATGTCTTTGCAGAACAAAACTTCTGAAATGCCTCTTTTATATAGAGCTGTGACCTCAATAGAGAAATCTGCAATCCCTCTTCCTCCGCTAAGCGCTCCGTGTTCTCAGGTGCTTGAATCCCTTTAGTTTTACTCCAGAGGGGATTTGAACCGCATGAATATGGATGTGATGATGATGAACCCGATGATGAAGGTAGTTTGGTCTTCCTTCAGATAAGCAGTAATCGCATTTTGAGACCGTGGCGGCAGAGCTAGGTGTAAACTTGGCTTGGGGCATTATGCAGATGGGGGGTGCAGGGTATGAGTGTGTGTGTGTGTGTGTGTGTATGTATGTTTGTGTTTGTGTGTGAAGATGGGTTAGAGAATCACTCAGTGTAGCCATGAAACACTCACCATGAAAGGAGGCAGTGGGTGGGGTAGAGGATGTTATCTGAGCACACGTAATCCCAAACTAGGGATTGATCTCCTGACTCCTCCTCCCTTGCTCCTTTCTTCCTATCTCCTCTTCCTTCCTCCTCCTCACCCCAGAGTTTTTTGATTCCACTGAATGTTGCTTAGTGCTGACAAGGCAGCAGGATGAGGGGTTATAATTAGCCTAGATATCCTTGTTCATATTCAAATTTCACATCTAATCTCACCCCATATTTCTAACAAGGAAAGAGAATTGGCTTGCCTATTCTCATCAAAAGATGTGATAGGTCACATCACCTAGCAACAGAGTGATCCACCTCCCTCTGTATTTTTAATTCAATAGTTGCCGCTGCTGGTTCTGCATTGGTAAAGGTACTTGTACCTGCCCTGATACACTTGTGGTACTCTAACTGGTTAAAATATTCTTCCTCTCTTTCAAGGGCTTTATTTCATTTTCTAGCACTTCACAGCCCACATCATTGTTATATTACATTTAAAAAGCTTTATTTCAAGTTGAGAGCTGGTCAACTTTTTAGAGCTAGGTTCCTGAACCTTGGACCATGGATACTTTGGGTTAATATATAAACAATAATGATACTGTAGCTATTCTGCATATTTTTGTCCATTTTCAAAAGAGAATAAAATAGATTTTTGACATATTTTTGAAGTTCGAAGCCTCTGGTTGGGTGTTTCCCCTTTGTTCATATATATACATTTACAATACATTTATCCCTTCTATCAACAAGCCCATATATTGTTAGTTATGTACCTTTTATAAGTGATTTCTTAACTGCCGTTACTACATTAGGAAGGACCTAAGGGGTACATGCGAGCATCCGAGCGTCAGTCTGACTACAGAGACAGCACCGCATCAAGGCATGTCCACAAACACCATAAAACAACCGACTCCCAGCACAACACAGACTCCAACACAAACTCCAACAGAAACTTCATGTAAGGATAAAAAACAACAATAAAGTTTTATGTGTTGATCGCCCATCAGGCCAAACGAGAATCAGATAATGTCGGGTGAAGACAGTCAACATCAGAAAGGCTGATTGTTAGCTCGCCGGCTACCGCCAATCAGTTGCTAACGTTATCCGGTACAATATACTATTGTTGTAATGTGCGGTCTAACTGTTATAAAGTGTGGCAACAATCTCATTTATAGTATTCAGTCTAGCTCACTAAACGTTTCGTTATCATCCAGTACATTTAGCTGTGTTGACATTGCTGAGCCTCCAGTGAAAGATACACTGGAGGGCAAGCTAACGCCGATGTATCACGTCAGCTAAATGCAGTCAGTGTAACTTTATCATGTAGCGAGCATGGATTACTTATACCTCAAGCTGACAAAAATATTACTGTAATGTTTCCGTGTCTGTCTATAGCTGCTGTCACGCTGCCTTTTTTTCTGGGAGTATTGTGCCAATATGATCTCTGTATGAAAGCGGTTGTGTTTCAGATTATGCTCGCTCATGAGTTCAAGCAAGCACGCGTCCAAGCACACACCTGGTTGAAATCTTAAAACCGCACCGCTAGTGGCCGCTGAAAATTACATATTACTTTAAGTTTGTACTCACCTCAGAAAGTGAAATGTAGTTATCAACTACTTTCTCAGTGTCACTGATTATAGACATTACTTTTTGTTAATGTTAATTTAACACCTGCTCCTGTACAGTGTTCACCCTGCATTATATATGAAGAAAGAGGAGGGTCTAATTATCGTCAACTTTTTCCTCTTTCAATTCATCAGGTGTGGTGACAGTAAATGGCTGTCAAAGCTCACAGGAACAGGTAGCCCTCTCTCCAAACTGTCTGTTACCACATGATTTGAGTCACAATGTATGCTCAGAGTGTATCAATGTCCTTAAATCTACGATGTTTCAGAAACAAAACAAAATCAAAATCCTATTATAATTAATTATTACAAATTAAAACTTATATAATTGCCTCCTAATATATTTCAGAGCTGTTTACCAACACATTGCACACTTATTTTGTATTTAAATTTGTTGAAATAAAATCATATCAGCACAAACACCTTCACCCCCAGTTTATCTTTATCCTTAACAATTTACCATATTCCGTGCTGATATCAGGCCTATTTTATTCAGCACAGGGCTGATTCCTCTCTGAGGCAGGGGTTGTGTCACAAGAATGCAGTGAAGCTTGCTTGACGTGTATATAAAAAAAACACTCTGCTCCACTCACCTCAGGGTGTGTGGTGCATCCATGGCGTATGGCCTACATGCTCGCTCAAGCATAAGCCGATGTAGCCTCCGCCTCCCTGGTGCTGCAACTCAGAGTTTGTCATTTATCTCAGATGTTTTTAATGTGCTGGAAGAAAATTCAACGTTTCTGGACTGAGGATCAATCTTAATAGATATTTGTATGCATTACATGTATTAGAGTTAACTAGTGTGTTATGCATTTACACAGCGCCTTTAGTTGAGGGCGGCTCTTGAGCAACTTTGGATGAGTGCTACATTGGAATTTGCTTTATTTCTACCTCTCTTACACAACCACTACTGAGGACTGTGTCAGAGTCAATGCAGCCAGACAATAGTTTGATCTACATATCTGTGTTGCTAGAATATTAATTCATTAAAAGGGAGTGGTAGGTAAGAAAATAAGTGGTCAGGTAGACAGGTGTATTTCTTAGTTCAACACAGGAGCAAGTAGAGAAGGAACATATGGGGTAGAAGGGTGGGATTCAGAAGGGAGCACAGGTCATGAATTATTTCTTGAAAAGCTGAGTGTACTGGTTATGATGAAAAATAAGCAGAAAGAATTTTAAATTAACTAGTTTTCTCTTGTCTACTTTTTAATCTTATTTTACTTGAGCACAAGATGGATAGATATTTCCACAGAAGACACAGAAGTATGAGAAACATTATTATTGTTCAAGGCCATTTTTATTTTGTACCCAATTTTAGATGACTATCCTGATGCAAAAATTCTACCCATCCAGTTCTCCAATTAGGTCACACCATCCACTAAGAATGATTTACAAATGCTAATTGGGCAGTTTGTGATGAAAGCATGACATCTTGTCAGCATAGCTTAATTGGTATGGAAGTTTTTCTATAATCACAAGGTCACATGTTTATCATCCATCCTCAGCTCCAGTTTATTTGGGCACTAAGATGCCCCTCTGGAGTGCAATGTCATGTTAACCTCTTACATATAAAAAGACATATCATACAGGTGATGTGATTCCTTCAACACTATCTTATATATTTAGTTTGTCATGTAGAGACCAACGCAATTTAAGTGATTGTTATTTGAACCATATAGTCTGTCACAATGTTCACTTTTTGTTCCTGTTTGAAGCAGCATGATGAAAACTCCACATAGACCGAAGCCACCTTGTGACTTGGTCGGTGCCAGCTTAAATCTTGCTCACCCACTGATTGACAGCAACAACATTTCATGGTTGGAAGGCATTCATTTTGAGTGCTTTGTCTCAAGCTTGACCTATCACCGTCTCCTTCCCCCATGAAGTGCTTGAACATTTTTCATGATGTTTCATGTCATCTGAGAGTTTCTACTTTAGACATTCTTTCCTTATGCCGATTGTTTGACTGTCTATCACAGGAATAGGTCAGAAAAGACACTGTGGCTGGTTTAGGTCAAATATAGTTGGCACCACAAAGTGACATGGCCAATGGTTTGATTTCCAGTTGGCCTTAAACGGTATATCAGTGTTGGCTTAAACTGCTCACATTCTCAAACCATGAAAATGTCCCTTTTATTAAAGCCAGTTAACTCAACAAGTTGAGTTAGAGAAAATGTTTGCACAAATAAAACTTTAATTTACCAGTAAAGGTCCTTTGGTTGCAGTCATGTGCCTTGCTAAAGTGTTTCTGAAGATGATGATATTAGGGTGATCATTCGTCCTCTTTTTCCCGGACATTTTCTATTTTTGGGAGCTAGAAAATGCGTCCTGCTGGGATTTGTCAATCGCCTAAAATGTCTGGGGTTTGGATTGCTTTCTCCAGTCGGCATTCATTTTGTGCGTTTTTGTATTGCTTTGACCTTTCTCTTTAGGGGCCGCCTTCTCGCATGCTGCCATTGGTCGGTCACGTAGGCCTACACATCCTTCAGAAAACATTGGTCAAACTGCATCTCAATCATTACTCTCAGCACCACAGCTACAGCAAAGAGACAAAGCAGCAGCTTGCTTGTCAACAGTGGCACATGGCCCCTGAACAGCCTAAAAAAATGTCCAAATGCAGTGCTTGAAGTTGGCTGAACTCATTGAATGGTTATTGTTGTGGCGGCAGCCCGGCTGACGGTGAGTGTCCTGTTTTTTTTTCTCCTTTTTATCAGTTATTCTGCTTTTTCCTTGGTTTTCTGTTCCCTGCCTGCCTCCCTGTGTTTTCTTCCCTGTGTGTGCTCTCTCTCCCTCTGCTCCTGAGCCCAGCTAACGACCCGCACCTGCACCTCATCAGCCTGCCACACCTGCCAGTAGTCAACCTCATCCCTGCCTGTATTTCAACCCTGGTTCTCCACACCACTCTTGCTTGATCGTCGTTGATCCATACCGGTGCCACCTCCACGTTTCTTGTTTTTTCTCATATTTTCCCTGTGCTTTGTCTCTGTTATCTCTAACCCTGTCTGTTTCCCTCCCAGGTACACTCACCCTCGTCCTCCATTCAGTTGGCTGGGCTCATCCATTGGCCCTCTCCTCCTTGGACTTACCCCACGGCGTCCTCCCTGTTCTCCCCCGCTCCTCGCTTCCTCGGCCCCAGTGTGCCCCTGCCGCTAGCCCCCAGCCTGCCCCCATGCCTGCTAGCGTCGCTAGCCCCCAGCCTGTTCCCATGTCTGCGAGCGCTACTAGCACCCTGCCTGTCCCTTCTGGTGCCCGGCCTGCCTATTGTTCCCCGGGTCCGCCCGACACCACGCTTGACCCCTGTCGTCAGTTCGAGGGAACCTGCCTGGCCGTCTTCTCTGGGTTCCGTGGTGGCCATCGGAGGAGACGTGGCCATCACGGCTCCCGCCAACACGCACCACTCTCCCTAGTACCCCAGCCCGCTAGCGCCGCAGGCCCCCAGTCTGTCCCTGATCCCAGTCGGTTAGCCCCTAGCCTGTCCCTTGGCCTGATAGCGCCCCTAGCCTCCAACCTATCCCTCCTGATCCCCAGCCCGCTAGCCCCGCAAGCCCCCAGCCTGTCCCTGATCCCCTCCTCAACGGACGCCTCCCGGCGGCCTTCCCACTGGACTAGGTGGGGTTTGGCAGACGAACGTCGGGTCAGGAAAGGTCGTCTCGCCCCTTAGCCCATCCCTCGGGCCGCCCGCCCGAACTCTCTGGCTTGTCTCAGCCTGCTCCCCGGCCTTTTGGAGAGGTCGTCTCGCCTTGCTCCCCGGCCTCAGGAAAGGTCGTCTCGCCCCTTAGCCCAGCCCTCAGGCCGCCCGCCGGACCTCCCTGGCTCCCCTGCTCTGTCCTCGGGCACCCCGTCTAGCCCTATGTCTTCAGTTCAGCCCTGCGTCTTCAGTTCAGCCCTGCCAGTTCCCCCCTAACCCTTCCCAGTCCTGAAGCCCTCCCTGAATTCCCTGTTTTGTTTTGGACCCTGGACCCCCACCAGCCGGACCCCAGTGCGACTTCTTCCCCCTGACGTTCATCTGCCAAGCCCCACCTAGTCCAGTGGTAAGGCCGCCAGGAGGCGTCCTTTGAGGAGGGGGCCCTGTTGTGGTGCAGCCCGGCTGACGGTGAGTGTCCTGGTTTTTTTTCTCCTTTTTATCAGTTATTCTGCTTTTTCCTTGGTTTTCTGTTCCGTGCCTGCCTCCCTACGTTTTCTCCCCTGTGTGCTCTCTTCCTCTGCTCCTGAGCCCAGCCAACGACCTGCACCTCATCAGCCACCTCGTCAGCCTGGCACACCTGCCAGTAGTCAACCTCATCCCTGCCTGTATTTCAACCCCGGTTCTCCACACCACTCTTGCTTGATTGTCATTGCTCCATACCCGGTGCCACCTCCACGTTCAGGCTCTCATGTTGTTTTTTTTCTCACGTTCACCAGGTACACTCACCCTCGTCCTCCGTTCAGTTGGCTGGGCTCATCCATTGGCCCTCTCCTCCTCGGACTTCCCCCACGGCGTCCTCCCTGTTCTCCCCCGCTCCTCGCTTCCTCTGCCCCAGTGTTCCCCGGCTCCCTGGCCCCCAGTCTCCTTGGTTCCCCGTGCCTGTGTTTCCCCGACATCCACCTCTCCCTCCAGTCCTTCTACCCCTTTTTCCCCTCAATAAACCTCCTTCCCTCAGAGTGCTGCGTTTGGGTCCTCTCTGTCCCCACACCACCCTCGTAACAGTTATGATTATTGACAAGTTAGCATTAACAAATCTTAGACTAACCACCATGTAGACAATGATTTAATGAATGACAACAGATCATAATGAAACTGCTGTTGCTGGAATTAATATTACACTAGTGGTAAACTATAAACGATACTATTATCTGAAATTGTAATAACATTAGCCCAATCAAACTATAACAAGACAGAATTGTTTTTGGCTAAACAGTCTGTAAGCAGACGTTAGACAAATTGTAACCTAAAAATAAAGTAAATGGTCTGTACTTGTACAGACTACACGACTTTCAGCGTCGGCCGATGTCCATGCTGTTCACACTAAACAACTTGCCGTCTTGTGACGGGAGTCTTGAAGTCGTTGTGGCGTTCACACTACATAACTGATTGACAGGGGGTCACACACGAGCTTACAGTGACTGTCACCCGATGCTGGTCTCCAAACACGTGAAACGGGAAATGCTGCGAACCTACAGACAAAACAGCTGTTGTTTATTATAAAGATAGCAATTATATAGACAAAGAATATGGGTGAAAGAATGAATTAGCTCACGCATGTAGCAGGGATTTTCTGAGCTACAGAGAGAGCTGGAGGAAAAAAGGAAAAAAGTGTTTTGCAGTGGAAAAGTAGCTGCCTGCTCTCATTAGCCAACTCTTCCAGATATTTGGCATGCTAGATATCGACCGATTTACTCCTGATCCCAGCCTGACGGTCGCCGAGTTCGGGCTAAAAATCGTGTAGTGTGAACTAGGCTTTCTAGTCTTCAGACCACGCTTATATAGAGCTTTTACACGTTCACCCTTTCACACACAGATTAACGGGCAACCCACTCTATCTCCTGAGCCAAAGCCGCCTCCATCTGCCTCCTGCCCCCAGTATCCTCTTTTTGTTCTTACTAGTCCAACTGTGTACACAGAAGGGGAATGCCTGCTCACAAAGCTCTCGCCAAGGTCCGGCAGCATTTTGTTTGGTCACGCTCTTTTTCTATTCTTAGCTTCCGCTGTCAACGTCCTCTTCACCTCTGCCATTAGCTAACGTTATGTCCATGGGGACTGCTGAGCCATTGTGCGAAGCTGTTGGGTTAACTGGTCGACATGCATACAATCGCAAACTTAGGTTTAGGCACACACCCCTGTGATGATTAGGGTAAGGGGTTTTGACACTAAGATAGTTAGCTGGCTAGCTAGCTACTCACACGCTCGCATGCGTAGTAGACCCTTATGTCAGTGGAACCAGGATGAAACATCTCCACATTAAGAAAGTCGTTGTGGGCATTTACGCACGAGGTACAGCAGCTCAACGTCATTGATTTTTTGAATCCCCCGACACGCCCACAGGATCAGTCAGGATGATCTGACAGCAGCCTCTCTAATCATGAAAGTTATTCGTTAAAGCACAAACACGTAGCCTATAGAAATCTATTTACGCGTGATCCATCAGGGGAGCTACCATCTTGTTAAGAGGAGCCGATCTCCCCCGTAGTCTGCACCCTGCAATCTCGACCATCGGATTGCAGCAACAGGAAATAACGTTACACTTTTACTCATGGATTTTTATTTCTGCTGCCGAAATGTTTCTCGGTGCTGGTGAATTATTAAAAATCAAAATGCCTCTGAATTTTAGGTTAAAACGCATTGTGATGCATGTTACTGAGATTGTAAGGGACATAATATTACCTATTTTATTTTGTAAAGCATTATATTACTGCGTTACAGCAAAAAACAATACTTTAATTGCGTTATTTTGTCACGAGTTACTCCCAACACTGTTAGTAACTTATGCAATCTGCGTAACTTCACTAAAAACATATATCAATGTAGTTTTTTTGTTTCATTTTTGTTTCAGGACCCCCCCCCCCCCAACCTTTCTGATTATGCATATCCTGCCTGGTCTTTTCCCTGTGACAGTTGGTGTAAAATGACAGCTGTTTCTGCACAATATAAGTCAGTAGACTGAATGAAATTACGTGCAAAAGCAAAACCTGAATTTGAATAACACGCAAAATGAATTAAGAAATGGGTGTGTTCCACTATATGATGATACCAGACTGGAGATTGGTGGCAATGAGTTGCCATTCACCCTATTACAAGTCAGTGTACCATTTAAGTGAATTTGAATCTATTATTTTAAAATAAAATTACTACATATGTAACTACATAGTATAAGTAACTGCTGTTGTACTAGAGTTGATTAAGTCACATAAGCTTACAATTGTTATCAGTGAATCATTTTGCCGTGCTGAATTTTGTTGTGGCATTTTTGAGTATGGGCTCAAGTTTAATTTTTTTATATATTTTTGCCATTCTGCCAGTTGCACTGCCCTATTTTATCCAAACGTTCCGACCTGCCAGCATCACATCTGTGATTCATACCCGAGGCTTCCTGATTACAAATTCGTTTTCAGGCAGCTTGTCAGATCTCCTGTACATGGATCACAGGATAATTGGGTACTGCCAATTATTTTGATGCATCGCATGTGATGAGGAAGAGGTTCAGTCTGCCTCTGTCCCTCCTGCAAAATAGCACAAATCAATATCTACACAACTCTGGTCATTGTGAAGATTCTGCGTGCTCTCCTGCATGACAATATCAATTAAAAAACACACCAAGGACAGGATTTGTGTGAAGTGGAGGGATTAGGTATTTATATGTGTGGGACAAATGTTCTTGATAAATGGATAAGAAAGTTACATTTTTAGAGAACATAAACAACATTTGTTTTGTCAACATCACAGAAATCTGGTGACAATGAAATGGTGTGTATTTTATTTAACTTTTAAAAGTACACAGCCAACACTTAAAAGCGAGCAGACCACAATAATGCAATTAGCTACAAATGGCTCCTTTTTATTTTCTCTCAATACATGCATTAATGCACGTCCTCTATCTTTTATTCTTGACATGCATACACTCTCTTGCACTCTCACACCTTTTCTGTATACTATACCCATACGAGAAGTCTATATCAAGAAGACAGTGAAGTGTATTTCCTCTGAGCTTGGTTTTCTTTGTTCTTCGTCATGTATCTGAGCAGTGTCTGGGTCCTGCATGAGTCTTAATGGAGTGTGTCTTTTCCAGGCTTTGGGAGTTGACTCCCTGCTGTTAATGCAGTGAGAGAGGAGCAGGGGAACGGCCGGGTGAGCAAAGACAGCTGCCGCCTCACACCGGGTGACTGACTGAACATACTCCATCCTGCACAGTAATAATACAGCATCAGCGGCTCTAGGTGTTTGCAGAACAGTGGCATTTGTAATGCTATTTTGTGTTCAGGATCATATTACTAATTTGAAGAACTCAAGTGCCCTATTTTCTTACTCTATGCATGTTGAACTATTGCTGCACTTTAGCTCTGTCTCTAGCGAATCTGTTCTGAAATGTCTGCTTTGCCCTCTTTTTAGCTACATTTTTAAAGAATGGTTTGAGGACTGTCTGGTTGAGATACAAGATGAGTTTTTTTTCTTAAAATGTACTACATTTGTTTTAACTGTGTTGCATTCCCTATAGAAGTGCCCATGATGCAGGACAGATAAACATCAATCCATCAAGTAGGGCATTGAGCTCCCAAGTAATGAACACAACTCAGTCTTAGGTTAGCTCTAGATTTGACTTGGGCTAAAGTGGTCTTGACTACATGCATAATTAAAACCATAAAGAACCTGAAATAGTGCGCTAGTGGTGCACCTCATAAGGTGACACTATACATAATGATAGACAAAATGCATGAACACCGTTAAGGCCAGTTTTAGAAAGCCTATATAATGTGGCAAATAAAGTAAGTGCAAGAAAATTAGCTTGGTGCATCGACTAGTCTTATCAGCTAAAATGTCAATACAAGGCATACTGACAGCATACTGTAGCTGTAGGGAAGTTCATCGAATCTATTTAAACTCTGTCTGATTTGGAAACCCAAATCTGTCCAATAAGAATAGACTTGGAAGTATAACCAGTAAGATCTCAGGGAGGAGTCAGGCCAAGTTTTTGATCATTAATAACAGGCACGTCCTTAGGAGGGCTAATGCTATATTGGACTGCCAGGACTATCCACTCCAGAGGGAGTTTGAGCTATTGGCCTCAGGACGCCATTTAAGGGTACCTGTTCGGAGGACTTAAAGACTCCATGTCTCTTTTATCCCAAGTGCTATTAATATGCTTAATAGCAATTAGCACACTGGCTTCACTCCTTGCACTACCCTGACACATTTGCACACTTGCACTCTTGCATATTTGTACTTGGTATGAATTTCCACTTCCCTGTACTAGTTATGTGATTTATTGTTGATGTTGTTGTTGTCCTTTTGTATTCTGTCGTTATGTGAAACCTTGCTGCATAATATATTTCCCCTTGTAGGACAATAAAGAACTTTAAACCTTAGGAAAGACTGTCCTCTCCAGAAAACAACATTTAGTAAATGACAAAAAATTACAGTGTCTTTGTTAAGTAACGAATACAACAGTATTGTGATGTTGTACAGTATGACAGTGATCGACTGGCGGCCTGTGAGCCACATCCAGCCTGCCAAAGCTTTCAATCTTGCTTACAGAATGGCCACTGATGAAAGTATTGCAAAATTTCTATATTTGCAGTGTTATAAACTGTGCATCTAAGGTGAAATTCCAGGTAGATAATGCTGTATTAAGTTACTGCTAATGCAAATTGAACATTTTCTACTACTGCAGCTACACATTAAAAACAATTTACTGGCAAATCACAAGTTGACTTTTGTTATGAAGTATTTGTATTGTG